CTTGTGATTCACTTACAATTCTAGATCTCCTGAAAAACTTTTTCTTGATTCTACACCACTAGCAATTTACATTTTCTCTTTCACTGATTTTGGTTACTTATTTGACATTCTTGTTTTCAAGATCCAAAAATCATCACTTTCCAGGTTCAAAATCTTGTTTTTTTTTTAATTTTGTCTTTTAATTGCTGTATATTGTGGAACTCCACAGGTGAATTTTTATGATATGAGTTCACCCTTTAGCTTTCTTTGTAATATGAGTGAATTTTTATACATATATTTTCTTTGTATCAATTTTAGAAAATATATGTATAAAATACCTAATTTTATGTAGAGATTCATGTTTTTGTGGTAATGCTATGAGGTATTAGTACTGAGCATATAGCTAGCTTGGGTTTTGGGTTTACCGACCTTTTTTTTTTTTAATTAGTGATATTTTCTTTTATGTATTTTATACTTTTCTTGGTTGCTTAGAAATTACACATACTTTATTGAGATTTGAATAAATCTATTTGATTTGGATCCGTTGATATGGGATTGCTGATTTGTTGATTGGCTGCAGAAATGGATACTTGTTGTGCGGCTATGAAATCGACGGTTCATTTGGGGAGAGTGAGCACTGGTGGCTTTAACAATGGAGAGAAGGAGATTTTTGGGGAGAAGATCAGAGGGAGTTTGAACAACAATCTCAGGATTAATCAGTTGTCGAAAAGTTTGAAACTTGAGAAGAAGATTAAACCTGGGGTTGCTTACTCTGTGATCACTACTGAAAATGACACAGAGACTGTGGTAATAATCAATTCTTTTCTCTTTATTAGGACATGTCTGCTTCAAAATAATGCCATAATAGTGTTGTAGATATGGTGGAAACAATCTCATATGAACTATATTGTGAATGGAAGTGAATCCAATAATTAAGATTGTTAGCATTGAACTCACCACACTTAAAAGATTATGGGTTGTGAGTTTAATTTTGTTGAAGTTCTATTACTAGTCTTCTGCTATATATTTGTTTCGTGTTGAGAAGATATTGTGTTCGGTTAAGCCTACAATATTTATCTGCATCAGTCTGTGATTGTGATTGTTTGTTGGACTTATGTAGTTCGTAGATATGCCACGTCTTGAGAGACGCCGGGCAAATCCCAAGGATGTGGCTGCAGTCATATTAGGAGGAGGCGAAGGGACCAAGTTATTCCCACTTACAAGTAGAACTGCAACCCCTGCTGTAAGAGATTTATCTTTGCTCATGAAAGTTTTATCAATTTTTTGTTTTATATGCTTAATGTCCAGTTAAAACTCTCTTCCAAGTTAATTTTGTTTATCTCGTGTTAAATTTCAGATTTTTTTTTTAATGATATGTTATTTTTTGATTTCTACATCGATTAAATATAGATAGAATAGGTGTACAAGATTGCAAGTCAATTTCTTAAGATTCTGATGTTTTGTGCAACATGGCACCAGGTTCCGGTTGGAGGATGCTACAGGCTGATAGACATCCCAATGAGCAACTGTATCAACAGTGCTATTAACAAGATTTTTGTGCTGACACAGTACAATTCTGCTGCCCTGAATCGTCACATTGCTCGAACGTATTTTGGCAATGGTGTGAGCTTTGGAGATGGATTTGTCGAGGTTTGAGACTATACTTCTGGATTAGTCTTGCTAGATATGACAGCTGAGCTAATTAATATGAGTAAATTTGCTGGTCCTCCAAGTGATTTGTTCACAAAAAATCTGTAACAATTTCTGATGATTATTTTCTTTTTTTTTCTGCTTTCTTGCTTCGTTAACTGAAAGGAAATCCGTCATTAAACAGGTACTAGCTGCAACTCAGACACCTGGGGAAGCAGGAAAAAAATGGTTTCAAGGAACAGCAGATGCTGTCAGAAAATTTATATGGGTTTTTGAGGTTTGTCTCTACAAATCTTTAGGACACTAATCCACCACTGCTCTCTTCTGTCGACCGGATATGATTTCTGAAAAATGTCTCATTATTTTTTCTTGAATCAGTTGTTATGTACAGACATATACTACTTTTGTGTTTACAAGGCAACCAATTCTTGCAGGACGCTAAGAACAAGAATATTGAAAATATCCTTGTATTATCTGGGGATCATCTTTATAGGATGGATTATATGGAGTTGGTGCAGGTATGTCAACTTTAACTACCTACACACTCCTCATTCTTTGTTTGCCTTTTTTTTTCTTTTAAAAAACAAAGTTTCTGACTGCCTCCGATCTTCAAACAGAACCATATTGACAGAAATGCTGATATTACTCTTTCATGTGCACCAGCTGAGGACAGGTTTGTTTAAATTCTTATAAGGAACAACTAGTATAGGTTAAGTGAATTGAGTGAGATCAGAAACAAGATGGAGAAAGAATGCTTCTCCTCTAATACTCATATGCATACGCTCGCTATACATTACTTCGAAGTAAAAACATCAACACATTTTTTAATACCTTATTGTGATTATGTTAAGCTGAGATTTAAGCTTTACTTATCAGCCGAGCATCAGATTTTGGGCTGGTCAAGATTGACAGCAGAGGCAGAGTTGTCCAGTTTGCTGAAAAACCAAAAGGTTTTGAGCTTAAAGCAATGGTAGGTTTAGTTGAAATCTTTCTTTTAGTATATGTGCTGATTTCTTTCTAAACAAGTTTTTGTGGTTTATATTCAGACTAGTGTTCCTTTAGAATTTAACTCATTTATTTCTTGTGCTGCAGCAAGTAGATACTACTCTTGTTGGATTATCTCCACAAGATGCGAAGAAATCCCCTTATATTGCTTCAATGGGAGTTTATGTATTCAAGACAGATGTATTGTTGAAGCTCTTGAAATGGAGCTATCCCACTTCTAATGATTTTGGCTCTGAAATTATACCAGCAGCTATTGATGATTACAATGTTCAAGTAAAGGATCTTGGATCTTTCGATTGAAATTATCTTTATGAATTGAGTACATTAGTTGCTCAAACGAAAAATTAGTTGTAGTTTTAACGAATTTATGCTATCTTCTCAGGCATACATTTTCAAAGACTACTGGGAGGACATTGGAACAATTAAATCTTTCTATAATGCTAGCTTGGCGCTCACACAAGAGGCATGTTGCAAATTCATCTTTATACTTCTAACGACTAGCTCAGAAATTATTTTACATCAGTGCATAATCCAACTGATTAATTTCCATTGCAGTTTCCAGAGTTCCAATTTTACGATCCAAAAACACCTTTTTACACATCTCCTAGGTTCCTTCCACCAACCAAGATAGACAATTGCAAGGTAAGTGGGTAAATACTGCAAGTGTTTTGCATTAATTGGTCTTTTGTGGGTTCTAATAAGTTTTGTTTTCTGTGCTTTTTCAGATTAAGGATGCCATAATTTCTCATGGATGTTTTTTGCGAGATTGCACTGTGGAACACTCCATAGTGGGTGAAAGATCGCGCTTAGACTGTGGTGTTGAACTGAAGGTTTGCGTGTAGCCCTAATTTTTATCTTCCTTTAAAACTATTCCTGAACAAACACATTTATTTTCTTTAGTTTGTGAAAAATGCAGCAGCTTATTGTTTCTAGTACATTTTGTTGTAAAGTGTAGATCTCTAACACATTTTACAACCACAGGATACTTTCATGATGGGAGCAGACTACTACCAAACAGAATCTGAGATTGCCTCCCTGTTAGCAGAGGGGAAAGTACCGATTGGAATTGGGGAAAATACAAAAATAAGGTAAATGAACATTGAATATTATCTTTTTTTGACAAATGTATTTCATTTTCATACTTGAGAATTCTTTAATTTGATTATGGTTTCACTCATACAGGAAATGTATCATTGACAAGAACGCAAAGATAGGAAAGAATGTTTCAATCATTAACAAAGATGTAAGTTTTTTTTTTGCATCCTCCGACTTTGTTTAGTGTGTCTTATTTTCATAGTACTTATAGGGCGGAGGTTAGTTTCCCAACAACTATTGTTCACACAGTCAAGTTCAAAACACAAATTGCTGGTGTGCTTCTTGCTCGCGAGAAAGAAAGCAGAAGAGTGTTCAATTCAGATTTGATTGTTTGTAGCATGGGAGCACTTATATTTTTGAGACATAATTGATTGAATGAGACTCCCTGATGTTCTTTTCTTTGAAATATATTTAGGGTGTTCAAGAGGCAGACCGACCAGAGGAAGGATTCTACATACGATCAGGGATAATCATTATATCAGAGAAAGCCACAATTAGAGATGGAACAGTTATATGAACTAGAAAAGCATCTCTTGTTGAACTAGTGGAAATCCAAATCTCAACTTGAAGAAGGTCAAGGGTGATGACCTATTTTCCCACGAAAACCTAGCACATTCAGCTCCGGAAGAAGCTTTCTATGCTCATGTGAAAAGAGCAAGTATAATCGAGACACGTGTCTAAAATAAAACTAAAGTTGCTGCCTAGTTCATGTTCTAAGAGTCACATTATGTAAGATAGCATTTTGAAGAACTCAATAGTTTATCTATTGCTCAACTTAGGCTTTTCGTATTGTAAAAAACTCTAGTTCAAAAAAAATGCATCTTTTCTCTATTTGTTTTTTACTACAGGGCCATACTTTGATTTTTCAAAATGGGAATATGTTTTCCTTATCCCCTGGTCTTTGTGAAAAAACATTTAAGATGTTGGTTTGAACAAGTAAGATCTTGCACCATATGCTCTCCATGTTGGAAAACACAAGCTACTGAATATGAAAATAGACCAAGTTGATTGTTTTCATGAAAAAGTGGCAGCTACAATCTTGAAAAACCGTTTACAGCATTGCAAAACCAGGTGAAAAAAAAGGCAATATAGGAAAAGTCATAATCAATTAGCAGAGAAGGATATGTAGAAGAAAAAGAACTACTCAAAAGGATTATGCTTCCTACAAGTTAACTCAATCTCAACAAACAACAAGGCATGTCTAAAGTTGTCAGCCTCTCCAAAAGTAAAGCCATGAACTTGGTTTCAGCCACAACAATCAAGACTGCACATATTCAATCACGAACCTTTTTGGCATGTAATTAGTGTTGTAAATAGTTGTATACATGCAGATGAAAGAAGCCAGACGAGTAGCTTGTTTGAGAAACAAGGTATCTGTGCATCGTTATGTTTAAATACAAAGCACCACCATCTAGGCAAATACAGAAGTCCAAATGAAAAATAAGATAAAAATACATACTAGCGCCAACTATTGACTTTTCAGAAACTCTTAGTGTTCCAAACAACTAAAGGGCCTTTTCTATGATATTCACATGGCTGAAAACCATTCATTGCCTTACCCATGAGGGCCATGGCACCAAGGCTTGGAAGTTGCTTCTTCTGGAAATCATCGAGCTCCAACTTTGAGGTTTGAGGCTCACAAACCACCACCGGTTGGGGCCTCTTTGGTGCATTGGTAGTCCTATCATGAAGCAACCTTTGAATCCAAGAATGAGAAGTCAAAGCCTCTAGATCTTTCTTGATAACACTCATAGAAGCAGTACTAGAGTTCATTGCTAAGCTTGCAGTGTTGTCGTGAACCATCAATTCTTTACCATGACGTTTACTAGATGATGCTAATTCAGAGTTAGCTATGGTTCCTTTAGGAATTTGATTGAGGAACTTGTGTGACTTCTCATTAGATGTTTCTCCTACTAAACTGGAGCTTTTAGTACCAAAAGCCAAAGAACCGCAAGCACTCATTTTGAGGCGCTTAACCCATCTACTACCTGGGTCATGTCCAAGAAGCCCTTCGGGACAGAAATCAGTTCTTGATGAACTGGGTTGTTCAGCACGGGCCAGTATTGATCCCAAGTCGAAACTTTCAGTTCTGGAAGAACTTGCCTCCATATTATCAGTTGGAGCAGGGAGCTCTAAGTTTATATCCAACTTGAGCTGTTTGTGTCCAGCTTCCTTCCTGGAGCCTTCAAGTGCAAGTTGACGGGGCAAAGTTTGGTCCATTTTGTTCACCTGCAAGATATCTAATGGTCAAAATTAATCAAGATTCTAGATTACAAGCAATACAATGGAAATGTGAATATTATGAACAGTTTGATGACTATAATTAATCTATGGTTACAATACAGTGTTGGAGCACATGAAGCCTTTTTCAAACAACAATCACTAGCCATCACTAAGGATGATTTGGGGAGATTTCAGCTCAATCTTGTTTTCTACTAACAAATTCAAGGGAGCTCCAGTTACTAGACAGCCACAGGAGGTAAGAGTTCCCTGACTCTATCTATTCTTTAGACTTGACAGAACTGTCTTAATACAAATAAGATTAGGGATATTTAGTATACATTAAAAGCTATTAGAAGTGTTTTTAGGCAGTTTAATAGTACTGAATTCAACTGTCACTGACGTAGATGTTGTAGTAAAAATTAAACTTATTACTTGTATGAAATATATAATTCAAAGTTTTGAAATATTTATGGTAAAAAGTAGATAGTTTATTTTTTCTTTATATAAATTTTGTAACTTTCGATTATTTTATTTGAAAATAAAATCACAAAATTCACTAGTAAATTCTTTTGAGGCCTAAAGCAAACAGTTTATTAGACTCAATCTTGAGCCACCCCTGCCACATGAATATTGCAAGATACACTAGTGGGAATGCAGAACTTTTGCTCACATTCTAACTTGGTAAGCAACACGATCAATAACATTTTCCCATTTGGTTTTAAGCTTATCATACAATGAACAACAGTATCTGACCAATTCACTGTTACTTGATTTCTACATCAGACTTGGAAACTAGCAGGTAGGAAGACAAATATGAAAGCAGTTAACAATACAAAATTCAAGATAAATCAAATACCCTCTTGGAAACCTGGCAAGAAGATAGGAAGTTATGAAGAACTAAATAAATCTCAAGATTACCTTCTTTGCTATAGAAGAACTTGTACCTGCAAAATTAGAGGAAAGATAGATTCATTAAATGAGTAAAATTACGTATACTCAATCAGTACGTCTCAAATTAAACCACTTTTTCTTTTCTTTTCAGTTAAAAATCGCTGAATAAGCCTTAGAAAGATCACTTGATACATTGAGCGGAGGATAGCACATACCACAAAGCTGGTTCTTCTCCTGAAACACATCCATGTCCATGGTATCAGTTTCAGCTGAAGATTCATTCTTTAACACAAATTCAGAACGCTTTCTGTCTTCTATATTGTCTTTTCTTTCACTGCCTGTGAAGCAATTTTGAATTTGAAGCTGCATTCCTCCCTTATAATGAACAAAAGATTTAGATTGCTTATCACAGCTACTTAATGATGCTTTCCCATTAATTTTATTCCACATCCTTGAATTACCGATTACATTGTTTCCTTCAAACAGACCAGCATCCGCTCCTTTTGTGATTAACATACTATGGATGGTCTGAGAAACGCAGGGACGATATCCAGTCATTCCCACTACAGAGTCCACGGTATTGCTTGTTCTCATTGTCTCTACATCACGCAATGGATGTGGTAGCTTTTGTAACTCTTTTGGTTCAGTTACATGGGAAGGACCGGGTTCATTTTTTAACAACCTGACAAAGGAACTTCCTGGATTTTTCTGGAACTCTTCTCCACCCATTTTTGGAAGAAGTTTTTTGCTTGTGGAGGGTGCATCCAGAAAGAATGAGTCATTTTGCCTTAATTCTGGAGTGACCAATCTCCCATGTTCATGCTCCAACATTCCCAGTCTAGGCACTTCTTCTTTTGCAGCTAGAAATGATCTGCTCACGAAAGCTTTCTGTGTCTTTTCCGATTCTTTAGTTACATAATGGCCAGGATCTCGATATGGCACAATATGAGATGCTAAGTGACTTGGATTATCTATCAAAGGCCTCGATGCAACAGTGCGGTGACCAATGTCATATGGATGAGTCTTGCCAAAATCCAAAGGATCCTGGAAGGGAGTTTTGACATTTTCACAAGGATTGTGCATTGATAGGGACCAATTGCCTAGAGTTTCTTTTGCAATGGTTCTTGAACTTGTCTCGTTAATGACTTCAAATGTTTGAGTTTCAGATTCTCTTAATCTTTTGACGGATTTAGAGGACATTGTCTCCATTTTAACAATTGACTGGAGAGGCTTAGAATCTTTGTCATTTTCCTTGTTTCCAAGAGCAGCAGATGCATGATTTTGTGTTTCTGCCGTAGAATTGTAGCTTGTTCTAGTCCAATGTGCCATCCAAACAGATTGAACTGAATGTATAGACTTCCCGGTTCTACCATCACAATCCGAATGTGATTGTTTAACACGATCAGACATGATATCTGGCCTTAGATCTTGCTAATGTACTAGTTTTCCTTCAGTTGTTCATCAAAAGATTGTCTCCATTACCTGGGAAAGAGAATTTTAAACAGCAATAAATCAAATTATAATTGTTGAATTGTGTGACCATCCCCTCTTAAAACTTTGACATATACAAGTCCTTGTCCCATACCGCGTGAGTTCAAGTAAACCATCTCAAGCTTTTAGATATTCAGAGATAATATGATTTTACTTACTTAATTATACATCTTCACCAATAATCACACAATATTTTCCACTGTTGTTAGTTGATTTTGGATGCTAGTAAGGATTATGACGTTAATCAGTACACAAAATCAACAATTATCAAAAGAAAAATTAAGACATTAAATCTCACCAACTATTTACACAACAATTCGCACCCACACACCTTCTAAATATCCACAATTTTGACCATTACATCTGGGTTCACACCCCAAAAAAAAAATCATAGAAAATATATATATTAAAAAATCACAAGAATTGCTAAAACTATTCCAAAATACAACAACATAAAAGCTACAAAATCAAGTATTAACCAAGATTAAAGTCTCAGACCCAAAGTCAAAATTGGTACAAAGTCAAATAAAACTGTTCCAAATTACAAATAACAGAAAATTGAAAAATGCTACAAAAATTCAAGTATTAAACCAAGATTCAAGCCTAAACCAAGAATTCATTCCATAGAAAAAGAGATTCAAATCTTTGACAGTAATATATTAGCAATTGAAAAAGGAACTCACCAGCAAGTAAGACAGAATTTGAAGAAGGTAATTCTGTAAAAAAAAAAAAAGGAGCAGAAAGTAGTGAAGGAGGAGATGAAGAAGCAAAAACCAGAGAAAAAAAGTGAAGAAGAAGCATAACTAAAATTCTACTCTCAAGACAAAAAAAATTACTAATAAAAAATGAAGACAAAAGCCAACTTATGAGCTGTGAACCTATGGTTCTAGTGTAGATTGGGCTCCATACGTCCGCACTTTTTTGAAAATTATATAAAATAATAAATTATTAATTTAAATTAAATATTATAATCATAATTTTATTAATTATAATTCGTAGCATCGTTATTCATCTCTATTTCCAGATATCTTGCTCGCTATTTTCCCTTTCTTCTTTCACGTTATACCAACATAAATTTACGAATAGTATTTGTGTTAGTATAAAACGAGAGAAAATTATATATATGATGCATATCTCTTCCTCTTGTATACTTATAGTTATATATCACAAATCTTCTTCTGCGCAGATTTCATCTATCTTTCTCTCTTTTTCGCTTTATTCAAACACAAATTTTTATACAAAATATAATATATAATTTGAGTTTGTATAAAGCAAGAGAGAGATTCAACATACAAATACAACTATTTTAACTCGATTCAATTGTATATAAATTCAAATTTTATATAAATATAGAAACACAAAAACATATATATATACAAACACAATTTTCATAATCATAGACATTCGAGTTATCCAAATGGTTGATTTATATAAATAAGATGTCTGTGATTTTATATAAATTAAAGTTGCCTCGATTTTTATACAAATCTGATGCTCCATAGTAAAAAATAAAACTTGCTATAAAGCACAATTATACAAATTATAGCTATAACGTACAAATATAATTTTTATATTTGGTATACTTAAAAAAACTCTAATTTTATTCTTTATTTATTTTTAACAAACTAACGAGTAAAAATAAACGAAAGAAAGTAATTTTACTTTTATTATAATAAATTCTTTATTTCAAGAGATATAATTTATTAATAAACTGTACTCGGTTTTTAAAGCAACATACAGGAGGTGCAAGAAGATTATCCTTTTAGTGTCAATAATAAACATGTATATAAATACTATACTTTCCTTGAGGGAATGTCAGAGAATAAAACATAGGAGAAACATTATTCCATTCGAATAAGTTCAAAGAGGACCAAAAGTAAATTAATGGTTCATATTCTTAGTATGTAGATAGTATCGAATAATCAATCTTTTGAAATTAAAGGTAAAGCCTCGACCATCGGATTCTTTGAGAATATGGGAGTTTGTACTATATTTAGTAACTTGGTCACCATTACTAGTTACGCGTTATAAATATTTTCATCCTGTTTGCACTTACATAATTGTTGATAAATAATTTTTAGTGCTCAAATGATCATTTTAAAAGTTATAGTGTTTAACTAATACTGTGAAGATGAAATAACATGTCTAGATGTGTATATTTAAAATTATATTATATTATTTATGAGTTAGATTGATGAATTAATGAGAATTGATTAAATAAATAGGAAAAAAAAGGCTGAAAAATGTTTTGATTTTGGTCGAAATTATAGTTACACTATTAAATTTTATGGTGAATTTTTTACTCCTGCTTTGTTTAAAATTTATTTAAAATGTATATATATGTGTGTGCGTCCACGAGCATACATTATAGACTATGCAATATTTATAATGTCCACTTGAATACATATATACCTTTAAAACACACTATTAAATAGGACATATATATAAGGTTCTTTCCAAAGTTTGATATTGTTATAGCAGTTTCAATCAAATTTCAAATATATTTCAGACTTTTTTTCCAAATAGATTTATATTTAATATATTTCTTGTCATGCATTTATTATTTATTGGAAATTTGGTTTGTGATCTACATTAGGAGTATGAATTATTTGTTTTAGGTTAATGCTTACATATTTGGCTTTTGAAATAGATTAGGTAAAGATGAAATTTCGACTATGTTTGTTTAATAGAATCTTTAGGTTAATAATTTGATTTAATAATGTCTCAATTATTATTTAATTGTATGCATTACTTTTTTTTTTTGTTTAAAAAATTTGTTACATGGAAAAACAATTTCACTGTGATAAAGTTAAATAAATTCACATTAGGCCACAACTTAAAAATTGTTACAATATAAATTAATTAATTTTCAAATGCAACCTGTCGACCTTTTTAGTTGTGATCTTGTTTCAATAAAAATGTCGATATCTCCCACTCGAAAGAAGAAATTTTAAATTTTTTTGAAAATTAATTAATATATATTCCAAGAATGCAGAAAATATCTTGTCGGGAGTTTTTGAATATTCCCAGAGCCCAACTAATGATCCTAATTCCCAGAGGTCATTTAATTAGTAGGGGAATCTAAAAATGGTTAAATTGAATTAAAAATAATATTATTAAATTATTGAATTAATGATTTCGCGATTCTTTTAATTAAGCTATTAGTTAAATTTTTATTTTATGATTTTGATCTACGATTAATACAGTAAAATTATACTTATAATTACTATTTTACTTTAAGTTATATAATTATAATTTTGATGTTTTAACAATCATATTTTTGTCATTTTGATATTACTTTTAATCGTAGACAATATAAACTAGTCTTTTAATTAAAATGTCTTCTTTCTTTCCCATTCAAACCAACATTATTCCTCCTCTTTTGAATTATACATTTGATTATGACAAAAATAACATTATTTTTATTTGTTGAAGTGTTAAAATGAATTCAAACAATTTTATTTTAATCGAAATAATCCATATAAAATTTTAAATAGTTAAAAGGATCAAAATCGATGATAAATATCTGATTTTTGGGAAGCTTAAAAGCCACGAACCTACTTCTTCTACCAGTCATATTTTATGTGGTTTTTATTATGCCACGTCATCATAAGTCCATCTCAATCCCATCCCATAGGTACTAAAACTATAATATTATTTTATAATGATAATGTGGTACTCCTATTTGTTTGTCTTTTTTCTTCAATGTAATTGGGATTTACAAATTGGTTATCCACAAAAGAAAAAGAAACACGACAGCTATTTGTACCGTCTTTGTCACGTGAAATATAATGCAATTGTTCATTAATTTATTGTTTACATTACGTAAACGTGACAATTGATTTGAATTTATTTTTTAACGGTTACAAATTACAAGGAGTGGGGGCAGTGGCCGGTAGGAATTTACCTTTTATATCATTCGTTTAATTTTATTTAAATGTAGATGAATTATTAATCAACATATAGTTAATATATTAGTTCATTTTGATAGATTCAATTCAAGTTATTTAAAATCTAAATTAATGTATAATTTTTTTTTTGAGTAATTCTCACATATATAGCAAATTTAAAAATTATATTTGTATGTTATAGATATATTTTACATAATTACGCTTCATAGCAAAATTTATGTTTGCTATGACTATTTCGCTCTATATATACAAAAGAAGCAATTGTTTAATTTGCTCCAGCATATATGTACAAAAAGATCAATTGTATAATATGTGTTTGTATAAAGCGAAAAAGAAAGAAGACCAAAAAGAAACTGAGCACGGAAAGATCATATCTATATATAATCATAAGTGTATTGAACGAAAATATATGCATTTATATTTACCGTATACATTTTTTTCTCGTTTTATACAAATACAAAAGCAATATATACATTTGTGTTTTTATAAAGTGAGAGAAGCGAGTGAGAGTGGCGATCGAGATCTAGGATAGGAAAGAGAGGGAAAATGAAAATATATGCATATATACAATATTCTCTCGCTTTATACAAACACAAATAAAAAGCGAGAAAGGCGAGCAAAACTGCCCAGTGAGAACGAGAGTGGCAAGCGAAATCCAATACGCGGCGAAATAGCAACAATTTGCTATAGGGTACAATCAAATCAAACTATATTCAGAACATTTAATTTGAATTAACAGTTTGTTATTCCAAACAATTTCCATACGTTCATATTTAACGTACCCAGCTCATACATATAAAACAATGGCAATCACATGTGTAATGTGTCTATTAGTTTTGTATATTTGAGCAAAATCTCTCATAGTTGTTTTTCCAAACGCGAAATGTCATGTTAAAATATTGTCAAACTTACTAATTTGTAAAGTACCACCAATAAATTTACAATATATACACAAAATGATCGAAACATACACGTTATATATATTAAGTGTAAGTATTCTTATTCCATGTAGTATATAGGTACATGTATATATTTCGTTAATTAGTTCATCTAAAGAATATTGGCTGGTAATTATTCATAATGTTTACTCAATTTGCTTTACGTTGGTCCAGTTCAAATTCAACTAGGGCCCAATTTTGTTTTCAACGTGAACTAGGAAGTTCAGGTCTCTCGTTGGGCTCCGATCCTTTAAATAAAAATGGGCCGGGTCTCTTTTGAGAAGATCTCGACCCTCTTTTATGTGTTGGATTACTTTGTTAATTTCTTGGAAAAATTACGTAAATTAGTACATTTTAATATATAATTACTGATTTTAATAATATTTTTTATTTATTGTCATTTATAACAACACTACGTTAAATCTGCAATATGAAATAAAAGTGAATTATGTATGCAATATATATAAATTATAATTGTTTTTTGAAATATATTATATTTGTATGGTAAAAGTTTGAGACATTGTATATTATAAGAGTATTAAAATGCGTGACAACTGTATTATCCACCATTAAAACTTGTATTGTATGTGAATGATAAATTATTATTTGTAATATGTATTAAACTTGTATTATAAATGAATTAAAAATGATCAAATGAAAAAGAGATATTATTGCTATAAATAGTAAATATTTTTTTATTTTAGTATATTTATGTAAGTTTTCCTATGCAAAAGAAAATGTTTTCTTTTGTAGTTTACCCAAGTGTTGTGCCAATTTTTTTTTTAACGACAAGGGAAATCCGCAACTGCTATCCTTTATGGTGCGCACAGGGTAAAACCTTGCTCTTATGCAATAGCTTGCAAACCTCATAAGAGAGGTAACCCACATCAGGCAAACCTAATACGACAAGCTTTATGACTCATAAAATGAATCTCTCATTTAAAATTTATAAAATTTAAATTGTGATTAAATAATTTATCGTTAGGGTAGA